ACTGTTTTCTTTTAAGTATTTCTTGGTCATGTTTTCACTTTTTTGCTTCAATAATAAGTATAATTGTTGCGGTAAATGCTCCCACTGAGGGACAACAAAGAGACTTCTGGTTTGATCTAAACTCATCTGAAGGAGCAACACGTGATGCATCCAAGTGACATCTTTCTCTTCAGAGAAGGAGAACTTCTTCTCCACCATCAAGCGGGATAATGTCAGCTGGAGTCCTGCCTCGCTCACCCAGCTGAAGCTGATCTCGCCTCCGCCTACTGAAGCTGAGAGGAGGTTTAGGGCTGCAGTGCAGTCCCAAAAGGGCTCGTGTTGCTTCTCAGAACTTTAAAGAACCAGCTTCTGATTAGGCTTAATAAAAGATTTACGAAGCCAGATGAGTTAATTAATGTATTAATTCATTTAAAAACTATTAAAGATAAAATAATTTAATTTCAATGAAAGTAAAGCAAAAACAAGTGTCTGCTTCTGCGATTCCTGCTTGGGTGAATCGATCTCCGTTATCCTGTCATAAAGTTGGACTGTGCTGTAATTTTAGTTCCTCTCCATCAGCACAGTGCAGATTGTGAGCAACAGGAAACAACAAAGCTATGTGAACATTCTCGTTTGTTGTTTTACTTTTCCAAAAAGGTTTGGTTATAGAGCGGGAGGATGTGAATCCCGCAGGTGTGAAGCTAACACGCGGGTCAGTTATACACATGATTTATTTAGATGTGGAGCCTGTGAGGAACAGGATAGAAGCGCGTTAGCATACTTGTTTCAGCTAAGTCCTGTTGAACACAAGGATGTGACATTTTCTTTGTAAATGTGAATAAATGATTATTTTTCTCAAATAAAATAATCTAATCCAGGAGTTATTTTGTGTTTAAGGTGAAGGTGTTTTATCTTATGACTTGGTGTTTTTCCTGAACTTTTTACTTTTACTAAAATAAAGAAGTACACTCAGTACTTGAACTTTTTCAAGACATGTTTATTTATACAAGTATCTTTACTTTAAACATTAGTACTATTTCCATCACTGCTGGCTTGTTTCTGGGAGATTTTGTTAACTGATGGTACTGAGCCCTAGATTCTCACTTAATACTCAACTACTGTTTGTAAAATTAGCATTTACTGATGAGTACTTCAGTTCAAAGGTAAAATAAAACAGTGAACACATTTTTGAACTTTTTTTTTACTCAAATGATTTTACAGAGTAAAGTTGTTAATATTTATAAATCATATCACAGCTTGTCTCATCTTCCGGTAACTCCCTCATGTTGCTTCCAGGCAGGGAGAGAATAAGACACCAGCCCGCGTTCAAGCTTGTTACCTTTCTGGTCGTACGACCTAACATCACAGCAAATCCAAACCACTGTTGATGTTCTTCAGAAGGGTGCTATCTGTTTGTTCCTCATTCCTCAGAGTGCTTTGCTTGGACTAGAAAGATGGTGCTGACCAGGCCACGCCCCCGTCACACTCTAGAGCCCTATGCAGGAGATAGGTGTAGGAGACTATTTTCATGTTCAGCTTGCATGAAAAACTCAAAGTGACCCATTAGAATCTGAAATAATCATTAAAAATGTTTTTTGGTGTCCCACACCTTGAACGAAAGATTTTGTCACTTGATTTTCTCTGTGCTTTGTTGTCAGGTGATTTTGTGTTTTCATGCTTCCTTCCTGGACCCCTGGACCAGGTCCCTCATGTAAACGAGATCTGACTCCTTATTTCACCTCATGTCACCTTATTTCACCTTATTTCACCTGGTGAAATAAAGAAATATTAAATATTTAGTTATACAACATAAATTTAATAATGGAGGGGAGGAACTTAGGAAGGCCAGTTATAATATCATTTTTTCAAGTTAAATAAAGAAAACTGTTCATTTTGTGTACACGCTGTTGGTGATAACTTATTTTGTAGCTGATGTCTTGGAATTAAAGTCACAAGCGCTTCACAAGAACCAAAGCAAAAAAAAAAAAAAAAACAAGTGATAAAATCCAAAAATGGGCCAGCAGAGGTAGAAAGACGCACATTAAAGTTAAGACAAAAGGGATGCAGTTCGACCTCCTGAGGAATAACGGAGCTCCATCCATCAAACAAGTTCCCTTCTGGAGTTTAGTCACCTCTGCACGGAGCAAAACGTTTGCGTGAGTTTTAAATGTCTCTCCTCAGGTGTTGGACAACTGTCCACTTTATCCATAAAAAACCAGCAGAGATCTCCATCTGCACACGTGGCCCTTTAGCGCCCCTCTGAGAGGGAGTCGGTAACGGCAGATGCGTCTCCTGGGGAGAGAGAGCGACCAATTCATCAGTCAGGGAAGTCAGGACACGAGCAGATCAGCCCTGACAACGTAGACGGCTCCAGACGTGCGCAGATCACATGACTGAGTGGAACTGATCACTACTGCCACCGTCAATTCGAATAAAAGCACGAGCGCGCGCGCGCGCACACACACACATGGCACCCTCGTCTGTCCCGGCTCAGCTCTGGAGGACACAGGCAGGCGCAGCTTGGTGATGCTGTAAACTCCGCTCTAACAGAGTTTCATAAATATCTCCAGCTCCATTCACAGTGAGGCAGCACCATCCCTCATCCGTCTGTCAAGTGAGCATCATTCAATTAAAATGCAATTGTGGTCGCCCCCGTGCGCGCGCGGACATTTAATTAGACGGGGAGCACGGTTTCCAGTGTCTTTTTTTTTCTTGCACAGCTCTTCGGATTTCACCTCTAAGGCATATTTTCACTGTGTTACTCGTTGGTTAAACAAGGGCATGCATCCATTTGTTAATTGATACAATTACGCATTACGCGTAATGGTCACGTAGGTCTCCAGGCGCGCATCAATCACTGGTCTATTGACCTGCCAAAAACGCTTCTAAGCGTTCCTGCTGGGACTGCCCCTCTCTCTAATAGAGAAAGATAGAAACATCACCATCATTAACTCCAGGATGGACCTCTGGCCAGAGAGCCAGGGGAGCGCCGACGTCGAGAATAAACAAACAAACTTACAAATAATAAGCCTGAATTTGTACAACTTTGGCTCGGATGTGCTTTAAATTAAAATGAAATGTTTTAAATCAGCTTTAAGAGAAATAAATCAGATGTGCACGTGCTAGGGTGTAAAATATTAACAAGCATCAACGAGTTTATGTTGTCCTCATTTATTATTCAGCGAGAGGTTCCATGTCCTGTGATCAGTTCATTTGCTTTAAACAGAATCAAAAAAGAAAATAATTAAAAAAAAGTCTGAACAAAAAAAAGCTTTCAGAAGCAGAGCAGGAAAGTGTACAGTGCACCTTAAGAAAAGCCGGGGCTGGATGTGATTGGCATAGACATTATTCCATCCTTGGTACCCTGCCGTTCCGGGATTACAGTGACGTCACGCTGATACCCTTGCATGGGTGAATGCTAAAGAACTATAGAGCCACAAATAATAGCACAAGCAGAGTCCATATCTTGGAAGACTTACTTATCCTTTAAGCCTCCTTCAGCTAACATAACAACATTTTTTCCAACTTAATGACGCTTAATTTCATTTCTTATCGGATCTTGGGGGGATTATTCCCTCATATAAAACAATCTGCAGCTGGTGCCATCCTAAAGTCTCCTTCCTTGGAGTGAAGTCATCTATTATTGAGCGAAAGGCCGTGTGGAAATGTGTGGAAGGTGATGGATTTGAAGTAGAATTGGTTGCAATCGATCAAGGCTGAAGAATATTCCTGATGGTAACAAAGGAAGCAGCTATGTCTTTCTCGCAGTTTGGATACCCTTACAGTACAACTTCCCAGGTAAGACCCTTGATTTATCTCTTCTCGGGTGGGTTCGTGTACAAACTAGTGGCTTTTGCTCGGTTTCTTCCATTTCCATCATCAGAGGACACTTTCTTCTCAGGCGGAAACACTGAGAACCGAATCGCTGCTCCGACAGCTCTGACAGTTAATTATCGTTGTTGCTTTTTGTTGTTAAACCAAATATCGATGTACACACACCCGTGTCCAATTACACTGAATATGAATGAACTCACGTGCTTTTCTGATGACAATAGAGATGACTGTCACTATTGCGCACGCTGAGGGGTGTAATTAGGACTTTTACGCATGCTTTGCGCATTCGCAAACATCCTCTTTAAACTAATTTGACACCTAGGGTGTGGTTGTATTTGTTTATTATTATTTTTTGTTTACTTTCTTAATAAACACGCTGTTTTTACTCTGGATACAAGTTCGGAAAAGTTAAATTCGATGAGGGAAACAGGCTGGTCTTTTCACAAAGTTATCGACCTACTTTTTCAGCTGATTGTCTTTTTTTCAGCCCTTTAGTGTGTGTGACATCTAAATATTTTTTATTTGAGAATACCTGTTTAACCTGGATGTAAAATATTCTTTTAATCTGGGTTAATAGATTTGAAGACGCAGAAAAACTGAAGCATGTTATTTTTACGCATGGATTACGCACAACTTTAAACAGTCTTAATATCACATGACAACTTTTTTCAGTCTCACATGCAGAAAAAATAGTTTATGCTTGACACTGCTGCCTTTTTTCGCTTCAATATTTCTCCTGAAATACGACTTACCTTGAACTAAAACAGGCCAGGAGTTTAGAAAAAGTGACTTTGTTTACGACAAAATTACAAACAACACACATTTTCTTTGCTAAGACAGGAATCGTCTAAAGCGCGCAGTCCAAAGCCATTTCAGAGTTTGTCACAAACATCCAGAACAGAACTGAATCAACCAATGATCACATATGTCCACGGTTCTCTTCATGCAGTTTTTCGTGTCGGCAAACCCCAGTTCGACTTGCTGCGATTCGATTTCCAGGTCGGTCTCTGACGGGACAGGGAGCTCCCAGACAGCCGCCGCCGCCTCCTTCTGCTGCCCGTCCTACGAGAACCGGCTCCTGGCCAGCAGCCGGACGGAGCTGAACGCAGCGCTGGGGATGTACAGCTCTTCCTACGCCGCAGCGGCCGCAGCCAGCCAGAACTACGCCAACTACTTCCCCTACGGCACCGACCCATCCGCGATCTACTCCTCTCTGGTGGGCTTCTCTAACGCGCACAAATGGGAGAGGAGGAGGAGGGGTGGGAGTGGGGATCAGGCTGATCGATCAGCGGGATTTATCAATATCTCCCAATGCAAACGTTTGATCCAGATGTCATTCATGTAATGTTAAAATGATGAATCTGGCGCCACTGATGAGAAGTCCTCATGGACTCAGCAGCAGCTCTCTTCCTTCTGCTCTAATTCATCAGTTTCAGCTTCAAGTCTGTTCATTGAAATCTCTTTTTTATTAGGAGGAAGTTGGAAAGTTTAATTATTTATTTGTAAAATTCCAAAACATTTTTGTTTATTTTAATTGCAACAAAAATATTCCCAAAATTGGATATTTCTATTAATTTATGGAAACATTTAAGACTATTTATTTCTCAGAGTTCTGGCTGATTTGTTTTTTAAGAGCATAAATTTTATACAATCTTCAAAAAGTTTAATAACAAAAAGTCAGATTTAATTTTATTTAAAACTAATAATAAAGCTTTCCCTAAAAGTGTGTTGATTTTGCTGCAGAATCCCCAGTATGACATCAAGGACAGCACAGGGACTCTACACTCTGGCATCACTCAGACTGCTGCGTACTACCCCTATGACCACTCACTGGGACAGTATCAGTACGACAGGTAGGTCACGTTGTCGTTTTTTTATCCACCCTGTGAACTCAACTCACTTTGCTGCAGCTTCGTTTGCGTGTAACCGTAAAAGCGTCTCCGCCGGTTCTGACTGCGTGTGCTCGTCCCATCACAGATACGCGACGGTGGACTTCAGTGGAACGGCCCGGAGAAAGAACGCCACGCGTGAGACCACCAGCACTTTGAAAACATGGTTGTACGAGCACAGTAAGAACCCCTACCCCACCAAGGGAGAGAAGATCATGCTGGCCATCATCACCAAGATGACCCTCACCCAGGTGTCCACCTGGTTTGCCAACGCCAGGAGGAGGCTAAAGAAGGAGAACAAGATGACCTGGTCGCCAAAGAATAAGGCAAACGATGACAGGAAGGATGACTTGAACAAGGACAACCGAGACTGTGTCACCAAAGGTAATCGCCACTTAAATCTGCGGCAGAAACTTAATTTAAGCTTCAGTGCTGTATTTGTAGACATTTTTAAAATGTTATTCTCTTCAATCAGATTCCAGTGATTGCAAAGAGGAGAAGGATCTGCATCTGAGCGAGTTGGAGGACATGGACGAGGACGGCTGTGACAAGCTGGACAGTGACTGTGAAAAGGTGGCAGCAGATGAGCAGGACATCCAACGAGCCATGGTGATGTCTGGACCTCCTCAGAAAAGAGACTGCAGCTCTGAACTGCACCTGAGTCTAAACAACAGCTTCCACTCGTTCCCCTGTGCCATCAAAAGCGTTACCGCCCTGCCCCCTCTCCCGTCGGACTTCCTGGATCCTATGGTGTCCAAAGCTGCCCCTCTGACTGCTCCATCAGGAACTGTGCAGTCTCATTTTGAAGCATCAGACAAGCCGAGGATCTGGTCTCTTGCTCGCACGGCAGCTTCGGGGGTCATACTGAGCCCTCAGCTGCACGGCTCTGAACTGAGGACAGGAAGCTTAACTGGAGACTGCCAGCTACAGAGCTCCAGACTATCTGGGGTTCCCGTTGGACAATGTGGGGCCACACGAGGCCTCCATGAATCCGGCAGTGCCGAGAGCTCGTTCCCCGAGGGCTTGTCGTTGCACTCCAAAGTTTATGGCACAAGCGGCTACAATCACAAGGGCCTCCAACTCCACAGCTCGGCCTACGCCGCTGTCTCAGACGCATGTCAGTACCCCGCCACTGAAGGTTCGTTCATTTCTTTTTGTTGTTTTTAGTTCTCACCAAACAAGTAGAATAGAATAGAATAGAATACTTTATTTGTCAATTCTTCGAATGTGCTTGCCATACAAGGAATTGAAATTACATTCCACACTGTCCCATGCGTAGACATTTACATAAAGTGCAGATGCACAACAATAACAAAACAAAAAACATCCCTAACAATAAGATAATATTAAACAGGTAAATATCGCTAATAATATACAAAACATATAGCAGCAGGTGTGTGCAATTTCTATGCAGAGGTAGTTGTTTACAATCAGAAATGTTTACCCCGTCATTGGTTCAACCACTATTTCCTTTTTGTATAATGTGTATGTGTGTGTGTGTGTGTGTGTGTGTGTGTGTGTGTGTGTGTGTGTGTGTGTGTGTGGTGTGTGTGTGTGTGTGTGTGTCTGCTTTTTATGAGATCTTTTTTAAAAGTGTTCAGATTCATGCTGGGAACAAACTCTTCCCTCAGACTTCTGCTTGAGTCAACTCCCTGAAGCGTGTTTTTGTTCGGCTCTGCAGGATTCTCTGGAGGTAAAGTGGAGATTCGGTCGCCTGACCTCGGCGAAGCCTGTGGGACCGTGCTGGATGACAAGGTCACCGCATTCAGACCAGTCATGAAGAGGTGAAGCAGGTGAGAGGCTGCAGCGAACTGGAAGGAACCAGTGAAGTCAGCAAATGCACGCACACACACACACACACACACACACACACGCTGGTGAAATTTCAGAAGCAACACATTTCATCCACGTGTCTAAAAATGTATAAGAAAACTTCTTTTGTAGTTATTTCCGCAGAGATGTTTCACTACCTTTTACTTAGGTCTTCATTTCCTTTCCACTTGTTCTTTTACTGCAGAGCACTGGAGACGGGACAACTCCGTAACGACTGGGACCTTTCTCATGCAGTAAGGACACACCGACCAAGCTGCCTCAGTCTGACGCACAGGAGCTCTGCGTGGCGCTGCGGCAGTGACGCCTGTCTAACTGTGGACTTGACAAGCATTTTGCACATTGTTTTGAAGTTAAAGACTTTATGCAAAAACTAATTCTAGATGCAAAAGTGTGAAATTGGCTCAAATTTGTGTGTGGCAATTGTGTAATAGTGTGATGTTATTTATTTGTGTGTATTTATTATTTTGTGTCGGTTATCTGTTGGATTTGTATCTCCTTTTGGGTATTCTGTTCTTCTTTTTGTGCTTTCTGTGTCATGTTGCCTGATGTAAAAGAGAAGAAAACTGTAGCCGGACTTAAATCTGGCTTCTTAAAGTCTGAATCCGCTGTTTTACACGTGACTCTGGGTGTTTTGGTCATCGTGCTCCGCGAAGCCCCTTCTTGTGTTTGCAGACATTTTCTAACAATATATGTGTTTTTTTTCTAACTGCTTTTGTCTTGTGTTATTTATAGAGCCGAAAAAGCAGCTGATTAAAAAAACGTTTGCAGATGTGTGTTTGATCAAAGTTTCTAATCTTGACTCGACGCCTTTAAAAGCTGCTGCAGCGTCGATGAGAGGTCAGAACTCAGAGGATGGACGTGAGTGAAATCCACAAGTCGTGGAAGAAAGGGGACATCCTCTCGCTTTTGTTGGGATCTAATCAGAAGTGGCATCAAACACTTTGTTACTGTTGAGGCTGAGCAACGGGGCAGGGGCGTAGGATGAATGCTGCTTTGTCCCGTGTGTAGCAGCCGCTGCACTAACTTCATGTTGTGTTCGTTTAAAAGGTCATTTGTAGGATCAAACCCAGCAGAGAGGTTCACATGGCCCGTCAGAGCCCCTTTGATTTGGACCATCTCGTTATGAGCAGAACTCTTCCCCTCCTGCAGACGGAGGAAATCAGACGATCACTGTAGTGGGTGACCCACGTCGACGGTCTGTAACCAAGTTTCATTATTTAAATTAAAATCTTCCAGAAGGATGGATAGATTATTGATTATGAGACATTGATTTATAACTTTAAATCTTGACTTACTCCCAGAATTTCCATTTTTGATTACTGGAAAATTGCAAAATACTCTAAATATTAGGAACACAAAACACAGAGGAGACACCTGAGGGAGACATTCCAGATGAGTCTTAAACTAGACCCTAGACTAGGTCCCTGA